GGGGACTATAATCAATGTAATGAAACAAGTCATATGAAGGGTTGCATGTGAAACTGATGATGTGCCCTGTAAACTTTCACTCAATCCACAATAAAAACCTTTAAAAAAAAGTCTAAAAATGTAAGCATCAGTTCTAATAAATTGGCAGAAGTCTATGCCAGCATACGACTGGACATGATCACAAGAAGCGGAATAAAGAAACAAGAGAGAAGAAAATGTTCTGAATGCTCAGAAACAAAATCAGCAGTGAGCCTCACCCACAAGGAGAAACCTTTTGGTCTTTGTGCCTTAAAAAACACGAATTTGTTTTTCATTGCAAATAAAATTATGGGTTTGCTTAATTCTAAATGAAAAAAAAAAGGGCTAGATTATTAAGGACTACCATCTTGAGCTTTATTTGGGCAAAAACATGGAGCAGGTGGACACTGACAACTCTTGTCACCAACTGGTCAGTTTTTTAAAAGACAATCTGCTATATTGTCCTTCTATCTCATTCACTCATTGATTCATTCAACACTTTTTTATTAGGAATTAGGGTGGTGCTTGTTGTTGTTGTTGTTAAGTGTTGTCGAGTCAGTTCAGACCCATAGCGACCCTGTATAGGATTTCCGAGGAGAGGCTGGTGAGCTTGACCCACTGACCTTGCAGTTCAAATGGCTTTGCAGTCTGGTGCATTAACCCACAGCACCACAGATGCTTACAGTTGTGCAAATGAAAGCCTTGCCAGGTCCTAGCTTCAGCCCTGGGGACTTAAAGATAAATGATGTAAGGTCAGTGTTCTTGGTATAATTGCAGGTTAGTGGAGGAAACAGATGTGGTACCAAATGGTTAGAATGTAAATGGAGGTATATACCCAGTGCAGCAGGTGGAGGGACAGGTGACAGCATGGTGAAATTGAAGTTTACTAGATACCAAGATACAATAGAAATGAAGTCTCCAGTGAGATGCTACAGCACACTAAACAGTTGCTGTCCAATAGACCACTTCGCGATGACACATGTGTGTCAGAGTAGAACCGTGCGCCACAGTCAATGGCTGACTTTTCAGGAGTAGATCACCAAATGGGACTTGAACCTTCAACCTTTTGGTTAGTAGCTTTGCATATTAATCATTTATACCACCCAGGGACTCCATCATACTAGGTAAATTTTACTAAGCAAATGTTCAAAAAACAATTCCACTGCCTTTGAACTTCTAGACAACTTCAAGACATGAAAGAGTTTATGATTGTGGAAGGAAGAAAAGGTTTGTGAGCTTTTACTTGGGAGATAGTTGGGGCCATGCCATGAGCCCAAAATCTGGAGAGTAGAAAAGGGGACTACCTTCTAAACCCAGGGCAGTGAAACACTATGCAGTTAAAGGGCCATCTAATCACTATGGGGCATATCCAGGAGATGTTTTGTGCTGTGGTGGGATCAGCCTGCACTCCCAGAGTTGTTGGGACTATATAGGTCTGTGTGGGGTGGACCATGGATGACAGTCAATCACTGGGTGGGGAACTGTTGCTAGGACCTGGAGACCTGCAGCCTGGAGGTCTGCCCCCAGCAGTGGGGATAAAGAACTCAGGAAAGAAGCTATCAGCTTCAACCATATAGCAGACCCACAGAGTGCAAGGTGAAGTGCCGAAACAGCTGTCCTGCCCCTCCCTCCCACCCTTGCTCCTTCTACGTCCATCCATGCAGAAGGTGATCAGAGATGAGCAGCAACCGGCTGCTTAAATGTTAACTTTGTGCCTCAGCTGGGAAGAAAGAACAGAACTCTTCATTTCAATGAAGTTTGAAGTTTTGATTAATATCTTGGACCAATATTTTTTCAATTTCTGAATTGAGACATATTTCATTACTTAAGAAGGCTATGACTGTCTATGACAAGAGAGTGAGCAAAAATTCACCAGAACTGACAAATTTTCATGCAAGAAAAACGAAGATACACCGACCCACCAAACCCACCTTGAATTAATTTAAAATAAACGTGGGTTTTCATTACACCACAAACTGTGATTGTTCACTGTATTGATTAAGACTAGAAAAACATCAAAGAAATAAATCAGTCTATTGGTATTTGTGATTCTAAAAGGATCTATTCTTGAATCAACTAACACAAAGAAAGGAGATAAAAAGCTTGCTGCAAACTTAACTCTAAGTTCTTGCTGGCAATGCCATTAGGCTTTGTTAGGCTGAGATATGGAAGCTCATGCGTCAAATGTTCACACCAGCTGCCAACCAGCCAGGTGCTCGCTGATCCTTCTGTCATACGTCTCTGTGCCATGGCCTCTGTCCAGCCCCTGTTTACATGGACACCCAGGGGAGATAAGACTACCCAGCTGCTAGTAGTACAAGACCTCTGCATAAATCTCTGCACAAGACAACCATTGCACATCAAATAAAGTGGGGAAAATAAAGCAAATATTTGGATAATTCACTTTCAAATATTTGGATAACTCTGATCATTTAAATTAGTTTGGCAGTGAATTATTCAGATAATTTATGGTAAATTTTCTGTGGTTAGAGGAAAACTAGAACATTCAGTACCAGCCACCAGGTTTTAGTCATGTTCTGTTGTGAAACACCCCACTGGGTGGGAGGTCTTTCACCTATGACTAATAATCTGTATTTGTTTATTCTTTGATCCAGAGGCCTGTTTTCCTGTGTAAAACTGAAACAAAATCATTAAGTGTCAGCAAGTCCTTGGATGTTAGTACAATGAAACCTTGCAGGGTTTTCCTATTATTCTGGTTTCTACGGATTATCTATTAAAAACACCTATATACGCTTACAGATGTCATTGTAAAAATATCAACCTTGTGTTTTTTTAAAAAAATGCTGAATTTGGCAACTTCCGTAAGTACTTCATTAGTGTCATTTCTGAAACATTATATAAAAATTATTGCATATCAATAAAATCAGCAAAGGACTAGATGAACTTGAATTTATCTAAAACAGGAGAACAATGTATGTTCCTACGGCTTCTTTTAAGAAATCAAAGATCTCCTTAGGTATCACATGAGTTTGGTGGTTTGAACACATCTTGGAAAATAGGCCTGGTGGGTCTGCTTCCAGTAAGATTAGAGCCAAGAACGACTATGAAGCAGTTTGGACACCCAAACTTGCTCGCTGGAAATTGAAAGCTCTAAATAGGCTTCTGTAACACTCAATGCAAACAATAACAGCATATTGATTGAAACCACTGCTTCTTTAAAAAATCGCTCAAGTGTGATAAGAGTTAGCAGTGTTATTCTGTTTGCCTCATTAACCTGGTCCTGGATTAACATGAATTCCTGAGAGTGCTCCAATGAGTGGATCACTTATGAGCTACTTATCTAAATCTTGACACATTGCTATGTGTTATGCTGGAAGGAGGCAGTTATGGTGGGAGAAATCAGAGGTTCTTCTCTGCTTGTTTTATTATTTAGCCTTGAATTTTGCAGGTTCCCTAAGCAGGGGTTTTGTTTTTTGTTTCTAGGGTTACAGTGACTGCAATGTGCAACATGATCTTCAGCCGGTTTCCCCTGGACACCCAAACGTGCTCTCTGGAAATTGAAAGCTATGAGTAGACTTGTGTGCAGACATCACCACTGGGTTCCTAGACAATCCTATGTGCCTCATACTTTACGTAGCAGGAATAGCATGCATTCCTCATTCATGATTACACTTTTAAAGTGATTCTTAGAAGAAACTGAGTCTAAGGCTTGGCAAGTGAAAAGTCTCTGGATCACACAGAACGTTGTCTGGGCTGCATCCAATCAGGGGGCTGGCAGTATTTCCTTCTGCTGCACATGGAGTCTCACCATGAGTTAGGGGCTTGGACTGACGACAGCTAAAAACAACAGGGTAGTTTAAAAAACAATTTTGAACAAATTTTGGATTAACATCTTTTATTCTCATAATTGATCCTTTTCATGCACTATAGCACTGATATTCAAACTTGGTTCTGTGGGACTTTGAGGTTTCCAAGACTTCCACAGGGCAACCACTCTGGGAGGGGCAGAATAGGGTTTAGTAAATGGGGTCTGCTTCCAAACCCCAATATTCATGCAGTCAGAGAGCTCAGATTTTCTATCTGCTTTATTGGTCTTCTGAGTAAGATTTCCATTAAAGAAAGGATTTCTTGGCAAAAAATAAGCTTGGCAACAATTGTCCTTAGTAACCTCAGTTGCCAAAGTAACCAATAAGCAGAATACCCACAGCTTACTTGTGCTTACTTACTAATCTGTAGTGTACAATTTCACCTGTTTTTTTTTTTTTCTTTTTCTTTTAGAGTTTATATTCCTGTGTATCATCCCATTCTCCCTCCCAAACCTATTTAGCTTACATATCTATATATTCTCTCATACGTTATCGTTAATAATTTATTGTTTCATCTGTTTTTTGATTTGTGAAAAACAGGTAAAATTGTACATTACAGATTAGTAAATAAGTACAAGTAATCCTATGTGCACCTTGCTTATTGGGTAGTCTGTCCCTAGAGAGCTGCCACAGCGAGTACATGTGGTGGTTGGGCCTCTCAGGTACAATCAAGGTACCTCAGAAAACTTGCATACACATGGAAATCCCAGAAGAGTTAAAAAAACCAGGCCCTAGGAAGAGCAAGGCTGAGGAAATGCCAAGGACTAACCACTCACATCTTTTGTTCTCTACACATCTTCATGTTCTCCTGTCTCTGCCCCAATGTTTTTTCCTTCTAATGCACAGAGTCTGGATTCCTCTGTAACTCTGGCGCATACTCTTCCTGAGCCAGCACACATCCAAGGGTGACAAACTTCTTGTGAGGAATCTCATTGGTCCAAGGCACTTTTGTAAGCCAGCCTGTATATGTGGTGTTAGATCACAAACTAAGGCCAATAAGCTAAGGCCAAAGCAAGCAGGAATGTTGACCCCACACTTAGTCAGGGGTCAAACAGACTTATTTACTTACTACCTATGGCTTTACATCTGCTTTTCATTTAATTCTCCTAAGACCCCCTGAGAGAAGGTTATTGCTACTCTCCTTATACAGAGGAGGGACCTTCAGCCAATTGAAAGCACACAAGTTGCCCGAATATACAGAGCTAAGCAGTGGTGAACTGGATTGAATATTAAACTCATTGACTCGAAAATCTCATTTACCTCATTACACTCAGGCAGCTTCTGCCTCCATTCATAATGTAGCCTCTTTCAGGTTGTATCAATCAGAGTTACACCAGCAAAACAGACCCAGTAGGATATAAATATATTTTAAAAATTTATTACCAAAAAATTGACTGACATGATTATGAGGGCTAGCTAGACAAGTTTGAAATCACAGGGCATATCATGAGGAAAAGTAGTTGGAAACTACTGATATAGCAGTCCACAAATAAAATATCTTCTTCCTCAAGAAAATCCTAGCTCTACTCTAAAGGCCTTTCACCTGATTGGATCCGGCCCATCCAGATTATCCAGGATAATCTCCCTTACATAAGGTCAATTGATTGTAGATGTTCATCACATCTACAAAATACCATCACAGGAACACCTGGATTAGTGTTTGATTTTAATAACAATAGAATCAACTCAACAGCAACAGATTGATATAGCCTGGCCAAGTTGACACATGAAACGATCTCATAGGCCATGGGCAAGAAACAAACAAACTTGTTGCCATCAGTTGATGCCAACTCCTGGTGATCCCATGTTTTCAGAGGAAAACTGCTCCATAGAGTTCTCAGTGGCTATGGATTTGGATCATAGGGCCTTTCTTCTATATGGCACTGCTAGGTGGATTTGAACTACCAACCTCTTGGCTAGTAACCAAGTGCTCAATCATTTGAACTACCCGGAGGGCTAGAAGACTGCAATACAATATAATGACAGAGAACCCTGGAAACAACTGTTTTGATCAGACTGGGAACTTTATCAAGTATTTCCTTAGTTCTGTCCAAGCTATAGGTAGGTTTGCTGTGCCGGAGTGAAGAAGTGTGCACATGAATAGATGCCTGTGCTCATCTGAAGTGGGCAGGGTTTGGGGAAATGGTAGCAACAGATAGGTGTGATCCTGGTGGGGTAATCAGCTCACTTTTACCCTGAGTAGGTACAGGGTCGCTATGGGTCGGAACTGACTCGAAGGCACTTAACAACAACAACAAGAAGGGACAACTGGAAGCCGAGAAGGGATTTGTCCTGCTTCCATGAGGTTACTGAAAGTACCATGGCTTGGGTCAGGCATACCTTAATCCTCAAGGTGACATCTTTGCTCTTCAACACTTTAAAAAGGTCCTGTACAGCAGATTTGCCTAATGCACTATGTTGTCTGATTCCTTGACTGCTGCTTCCGTGAGTGTTGTTAGTTGATCCAAGAAGAATGAAGTCCTTGACAACTTCGATCTTTTCTCCGTTGATAAGAATGTTGTTTATTGGTCCAGTGGTAAGGATTTTTGTTTTCTTTACATGGAGATGTAATTGATACCGAAGGCTGTGCTCATTGATCTTCATCAGTAAATGTTTTAAGTCCTCTTCACTTCCAGCAAGCAAGGTTGTATCATCTGCATATCGCAGGTTGTTAATGAGTCTTCCTCCGATCCTGATGCCACATTTTTCTTCATAGAACAAGTGGTGTTGGTTAAGTTAAATCAGTTGTTTCTACTGTTCTACTCACTCCTCCCTTATGGAGGTATAATATATGGAAGAAGTGTCTAAGGCATTTATGAGTCCCTGGATAAAATGTGTCTTATGAAGGCGCTGCTTAGCTGTGGTATGTGCTTTCTTCTTTTCCTTGTGTCTCCCAGGCTGGTACAACCATCTGTACATTAACTTCACTCTGCGTCATTACATCTTCTTCTTGCTCCAAATTTATTTCCCTGCGACCCTCATGGTCATGTTGTCCTGGGTCTCCTTCTGGATTGACCGCAGAGCTGAGCCTGCCAGCGTCCCCTTGGGTAAGGAATATCTCAAATATACATTTCAAGTGTCTGAAAATAAAAGTAATTCCTTCCAGATAAAACCATTCTTTTCAAATTGGTCCTTTACTTCATAAGTTGGAAAAACTCCATATTCTATTCCAGGTAAGACAAAACCCCAGATTTACTGCTGCCGAGTTGATTCTAACTCCATGTGTTACAGAGAATTGGTCCTCCTGGGGTTTCTTGGCTGTAATCTTCACAAAAGCAGATTGTCTGTGGTGCCATGAGGTACGTTTGTTTGCTGGTGAGTATTAACCTAAAGGTTTCTTTTTGCCACCTATTCATAGGTGGTGGTGGTGTGCCATGGAGTCAATTCTGACTCATAGCGACCCTATATAGGGTTTTTTGGGCTGCAAATCCTTACAGGAGCAGAAAACCTTGTCTTTCTCCTACGGAAGAGCTGGTAGTTTCGAACTGCTGACCTTGAGGTTAACAGCCCAACTTGTAAAATCCCTTAATAAAGAATCTGTGTAGCAAAGTTATTTCCAATCACCACAGATGCCCATCTTGTTAGAGCAGTGTTCTGGTATGAGTGATCCTGCCCCGTGGGTGCTTTCTCTAACCACCTGCATAAGAAATTCACATTCCATATCATGATTTCTCAAAAGAAGACCCAAGAGATAAAGTTCTCCTGGAGAAATTTTTAAATGAAGAGTTCTGGGCCTCAGCCAGACTTAGAAGAATCAGAATCTCTGAGTGACGCCCAGGAATCCATACTTGTGACAATCTTTGCCAGTGATTCTTATACATACTCAAGTCTGAGAACCTAGACTACTCTATGAACATTCAACTGATGACTGTTTGCCATCAACCCTCTTCCCCACTTTAAACACTGCACCCACTTTGTCACATACATCATCATTGTTCTGACAGATCAGGGATTCAAGGAAGAAACAGACCCACCAAGTTATAATGGAACTGGATTGGAGTTGGCCCTTAAAATAACTACAGCACCCTGTGGTTTGATGTTTGCCAAGCAAATGTTCTAAACTTAATTTGAAATCCCAGGCAGATTTTCACTGACAGATGTTCTGTTCCTTAGCAGTCCTCATGTAGGTTGGATAGTTAGTATGCTAAATAAATGTGCATTCTGGTTTTAATGATCAGTTAACAACATTGTCATCTTTGACAAAATTGACTTCGGAGTCCTTAAATTGACATTGCTGAGTGGACAGCCTGATCCTGCATGGGGATGGCTTCCAGAGGACACCCTGCCAGGACTACAGAGCCCAACAGCTGCAGCAAGGGCACAAACATTACATCAGTTTAGTACACTTCACTTCATTTCCATTACAGACCAGTAGTTACAAGAAACATAGTAGCTGCTCCTACCTCATTATGCCAAGAAGACAGGGGTTCTTTGCAGAAGGATAAAGTGATACGGGTGCCATGACGAATACACAGGGCACACAAACTGGAGGGGAGTCCTGGTGTGGCGCTGTAGGACAAGCACTGGATTGCTAACCACAAAGTTGGCAGTTCAAACCCAACAGTCTCACCTTGGAAACCCTATACAGGGTCGCTATGAGTTAGAAAAGACTAGACAGCACGTATCAACAAGGTAGTGGCGGTGGGGGCTTCGAAAAGAATGCAGGAATAGGAAAAGCTTCACAGCGGCTAAATCTTGAAAGAGGAGTGGAGTTTGTTAGAGGAGCAGGGATGGAGATACCTTAGGTAGAGAGAGCAGTTGTTGTTATGTGTCTTGGAGTCGGTTCCGACTCATAGTGAACCTGTACAGGCTGTAAATCTTTACGGGAGCAGAAAGCCTCATCTTTCTCCCGCGGAACAGCTGGTAGTTTCGAACTGCTAACCCTGAGGTTCGTAGCCGGATTCGTAACCACTACGCTACGAGGGAGCAGTAGGAGCAAACAGACATGAAACCATGCAATGTATTTGGTGAAAGACAAGGGGATGCGTATTTCTCAACACAATGTGTATATGTTGGTGTTGCAGGTATCACCACTGGGCTGACAATGTCCACCATCATCACGGGTGTGAAGCCTCCATGCCCCGCGTCTCCTACATCAAGGCCGTGGATATCTACCTGTGGGTCAGCTTCGTGTTCGCGTTCCTTTCGGTGCTGGAGTACGTGGCCGTTAACTACCTGACCACAGTGCAGGAGCTGAAGGAGCTGAAGCTGCGGGGGAAGGTGACTTTACCAGGCTCAAACTTTGTCTGGTCTCGCACTGGGACTGTGGCGGGTGAGACCTTCTCTGTAAAATGGGGGTAATAACGGCTCCCCTCTCCCACCAACTTCACAGGGTTGTTGTGAAACGTAAACAAAATAATGTATGTTGAAGCATTTTGAAATTTACTTTGGACTGTATCTTCCTATCATTGAAACATTTGTTTAGCACTTACCACTTACCACGAGTTGGTAGACTAAGTTGACTAAGACATGGTTCCTTTAATATTGGTGGTGTTCAGAGTTTAGTGAGGAAATCCCATGATAAAAATAAACGGCAATTCAACATGGTGAAGCAAGTGATTTATGAACAAGCTGCATCATGCCATTCAGTCGGTTATGACTCATAGCAGCCCTGTATAGGAGAGGCTATACATTTTTATGGATGCAGAAAGCCTCATCTTTCTGCCAAGGTGTGGCTGATGGATTCAAACTGCTGATCTTGTGGTTAGACTATGCTACCAGAACTCCTGTTCATGAATACAGAGGTAGAATACAATCCTCCAAGGAAGCACAGCCTCCCTTCTAGGAAACTTCCCTGCACATTGTGACCCCATACTTCTCCCTTTGTTTCTCAGATTATCTTCCCTCTCACCTGGCTTTCCTCTCTTCTACTTGTCTGAAGGCGCTCTGGTAGGGTAGTGGTTACAAATCAGGCTGCAAACCTTAAGTTCAGTAGTCTAAAACTACCAGCTTTCCGCAGGAGAAAGATGAGGCTTTCTGCTCCTGTAAAGATTTACAACCCTGTATAAGGTTGCTATGAGTCGGGTACCACTCCACGGCACAAAACCACCACCACTTGTCTGCAGGACGATCGTTATCTCTTCCAGAAAACTCTAGCTGTAGTAGTGTGTTTCTACAAATGCTGCACTTCTCTGATTCTCACCTTCATCACACATTACATATTCACACCCACAGGCAATAATTTTATCTGTAAACATTTGATCAGGATGGGCAATAGTTTATGATTTCATGGAGAAGAGGGCAATTAGTTCAACAAGAACGTTCTTGTTGGCCTCTGTTGGGGCACAATGATGTTTCCCAAGAGCTGGTGTAGACTTTAAAAACCAGTCGATTCCGACTCCTGACAACTCCATGTGTTTGGAGAACAGCTGTCCTGTAGAGCGGCTTTTGAATAGCTACGATCTTTCAGAAGTACATCACCAGACCTTTCCTTTAGGATTTAAACCACCAACCTTTGAGTCAGTGACCCAATACTTAACCATTTGTGCCACTCAGGCAAACTTATATAGGCTTTGGACAAAAATGAATACATACTGTTTTTAAATACTTACAGTAGTACCACCCTCAGTTTCCCACCTCTGCCCCTAACTGGAAATAAAAGATGCTAGAAAGACAACATCCTCCAGACTGCAGTTTCTTATGTTGGGCTTCTGCCAAGTGAAGCTGAGCTTCCATCCCATTGTGTTTGTTAGCTCACAGCTTCCCTGCACCTGCGGCTTAGCCTAGGCCTGCGCTGGAGAGCAGCTACAGCGATGGGGAAGTGAACAATCTGGGGAACTACATGCCTGAGAATGGCAAGACGCCAGACAAGATGATGGCACAGCTGACCCTGACCTCAGAGAGGAACTCTCCCTGGAGTAAAAGCCCAAGAAGCAGCTATGAGAACATGAGGATTTACACCCATGCTGTTGACAAATACTCCAGGATAATTTTTCCAGCAGCATACATTTTATTCAATTTAATATACTGGTCTATTTTCTCACAGATACCTGTAATTTTAAAAATTCGCACTCTACAGTATATACAAGTGAAATACTTATATGGTGAAAAATAACTTAGGGTTTTTTTTTGTTGTTGTTGTTGTTTTCCATCTAACTAACCACCTACTTCTTTACTTTTCCTTCTCCAGTTTTCCATAACTACATGGACAAGATTCTCACTGGCTTAATTTGTACTTGTTAAGTACCGTGGAGTCGGTTCCAACTCATAGTGACCCTGCTCAGGGTTTCTGGGGCTGCAAATCTTTACCAGAGCAGAAAGCCTCATCTTTCTCCCACGGAACAGCTGGTAGTTCTTAACTGCCAACCTTGAGGTTAGCAGCCCAATTCATAACCACTACGCTACCAGAGCTCCTTAATTTGTACTTATTTGCCATGAATATGCAGCCCAGATATGGCACAGTAGGGTAAGTACTGGTCTGCTAACTGAAAGGTTAGCAGTTCAAACCGACCACACGCTCCTCAGAAACCCTAGATAGGGTCGCCATGAATCAGAACTGACTCGATGGCACTTAACAATTGTATATACATTACACTAGTTGCTTCAGGAATATACTACTCATAGCAACTGATTATAGTTACCAATATTCCCTGGGAAAGCCCACTACCAGTGTGTGGGCAGACTGTAGATCAACTTGTTAGATCCTACATGCTTATTCACATGATTTCCTTTAAGTGTCATTGTATTCTTTGCACTAAGTAGAATGGGGGAACAGCTAAAGTTCATTTGCATGAAATAAAAATCAAAACCAACCACACTGCCACTGAGTCAATTCTGACTCACAGTGACCCAATATTTATTGTTGTTAAGCGCTGTTGAGTCAGTGCCAACCCATAGCGACCCTGTACAGGGTTTCCAAGGAGTGGGTGGTGAGATTGAACTGCCAACCATAGGGCTCAAACACCTTTGCAGTCCAGCGCATTAATTCACAGCACCATACCAGGACTCCAACCTATTTATAGCTTCAATTTATAGCCTATCACCTATTTTTCATTTATTTTAATAAAGATTGGTTTGTTGTTTTACCTTTGAAACAGTTCCAACACATAGCCACATAGGATTTCCAAGGTTGTAAATTTTCACTGGAGCAGAAAGCCTCATCTTTCTCCAGCAAGGCAGTTTGTGGGCTCGAACCCCCAATCTTGTAGCTGGCAGTCCAGTTCTAGCTACCAGCGCTCCAATAAAGACTGGTAATAACCTTCATGTTTATATTGTGGTCCATGAAGTCTCACCTCCTCACAACAACAGCTCTTTAGATAGTCCAGCAATATTTAAAAATTACTGGTTGTGGTGCTGCAGGTTAATGCGCTGGATGGCAAAGCTGGCGGTTCAAGCTCACCAGCTGCTCCTCAGAAACCCTATACAAGGTTGCTATGGGTCGGAAGCGACTCTATGGCACCTAACAACAATCTGAAGAATAATGCAGTATCAGGGTTAGAGGAAGGTGCATTAACAGCCTGCGATATGCATTATGTGCCGTAGAGTCCAGCTGGTGGGTTTGATCTGCCAACCTTGCAGTTCAAACAGATCTCGTGATCCAGTGTATTATCCTGTAGCACCAATCTTACTTGCTGAAAGTGGAGAACTTGAAGCATTTACTGGTGATCAAAACTTCAGCCTTGTGGATTTCACCTCAAAGTTAAAAAAAAAGCCCTCACATAGAGGCTAATAATCAACATCAAGATAAATGATGAAGATACAGTAGTTGTCAAGGATTTCATTTTACTTGGATTCAAACCCCATGGAAGCAGCAGTCAGATCAAATGACCTATGGCATTGGGTAAATCTTCCAAAATAAAGTGTTAAAAAAAAAAAAAAGTCTGTTTGAAGACTAATGTGTGCCTGATCCAAGCCAAGTTATTTTCAATTGTCTCACATGCATGTGAAATTGGACAATGAATAAAGACTAAAGAATTGATAATGCAAATGTATCAGTTCTTCTTATCTTCTTTATTCATTAGCAAAAAATAGTGGACATGCCATGGATTGCCAGAGGTACAAATCTATCTTGGAGGAAGTACAGCTAGAATGTGTCTTAGTAGTGAGAATAGCAAGACTTTGTCTTATACTCCTTAGCCGTATTATCGGGAGGGATCAGTCCCTGGAGACTGACATCATCCTGGGTAAAGTAGGTCAGCAAAAGAGGATGGATTGACATGGTAGCTGCAAAAAGGGATTCAAACATAGCAACATTTATAGGAAGGTGCAAGACTGGGCAATATTTTGTTTTGCTACACATAGGGTCTCTATGAGTCAGAAATGGCTTGATGGCACCTAACAACATACCATTTTCAGAGATTAAGGTAAGACTGAGCATTAGTTCACAGGCTTAGGTTTCAATTGCATCCAAGTTCATGTCCTCAGAGGTATCGTCCTCCCTTTCTTAGGCAATGAGCAAACTTCTACTTATAGTCAAGGGACACTGAAATTCATATCAAACGCTGTAAGGTTCTTGTATCACAGCACACAACATTCCTGGGACAAGATTAAAGCATAAAGTTCGATGACAAAGCATAAAGTTTGAATTTTAAAACTTTAGTATTCCTTGAATAAATGAAACTCAAGTGGGAAAAAATGCAGTTTTTGAACTGCTAACATTCTCTTAAGCAAACAAAACTCTGCAACCACCAAATTGATAAAATTTCAAACTTTCTCAAAAATGTATTTATTCTTCATTTAGTAGGGCAATGTCTTCGTCTTTGACCTAAAAAGATTTGTTATCTATTTAAAATCTTGACCGGATATTATTTATTTTATATTTCTGAGGTTTATGTTTTTAAGGTGATTGTATGTTTTGATCCAATGAAGTAGCCAAAGTTGATCTGATATTTTAATCACTGGAAAACAAAAAAAACAGATTTGAAATCTACTTTTAAAAGTAGTTTAAATATAGAAGCATGGATACATACAACTTTTCTCACAGGACACATCTATTCAGCCATTGTTAACCATCTAAAAACCTGCTACATTGTACTTGTATTACACAAAATTACTGTTCATCAAAGCTGACAAAATATTTTAAAGAAAATTCATTCCTATAATTAATTTACATATAATTTACATTGGCATGTTTCAGAGTGAGACCTGCATTTTTTTTTAAAGTTGTTCTTATAAAATTCTCCTATGAATATATCACATTTATAGTTTAGAAACAAACCAACATCTGTGTTGTTATTAGGTGCCATTGAGTCAGCACTGACTCATAGCGACCCTATGCAAAACACTGCCCAGTCCTGCGTCTTTCTGTTTCACACTTGAGCTCACTGCTGCTGCCACTGTGTAATCCATCTTTAGGGGTCTTCCTCTTTTTCACTGACCTTCCACTTTACCAAGCATGATGTCCTTCTCCAAGGAATGGTCCCTCTCCTGATAATATGTCCAAAATATGAGAGACAAAGTCTCACCATCCTGGCTTCTAAGGAGCATTCCAACCGTACTCCTCTAACACAAATGTGTTTCATCTGCCAGTCCATGGCACTTTCAATATTCTTCTCTATAACTCAAATGCATCAATTCTTCTACAATCTTCCTTATTCACTGTCCAACTTTCACACACATGTGATTAAAAATGCTTAGGTCAGGTACCCCTTAGTCCTCAATCTGGTATCTTTTAAGAGGTATTTGTGCAGATTTGCCTAATATGTCATTTCATTTCTTGACTGCTGCTTCCATTGAGTATTGATTGTAGTTCCAAACAAAATGAAGTCTTCGACAACTTCAATCTTTTCTCCATTTGTCATGAGTTATTTATTGGTATCAAGAGGCTTTTCATTTTCTTTACAATGAGCTTCAATTCATACCGAAGGCTGTGGTCTTTGGTCTTTATCAGTTAACTATTTTAAGTCCTCTTCACTTTCAGCAAGCAAGGTTGTTATCATCTACATATCACAGATTGTTAATGAGTCTTCCTCCAATCCTGATGCTATGTTCTTCACATAACCCAGCTTCTCAGATTACTTGCTCAGCAAACAGACTGAATAAGTATGGTGAAAGAATACAGTCCTGGTGCACATCGTTCCTGATTTTATACCATTAAAAAAAAGTATCCCCTTTTCCTGTTCAAATAACTGCTTCTTGTTCTATATACAGGTTCCTCATAAGTACAATCAAGTGTCCTGGGATACCCATTCTTTACAATGCTATCTATAGCATGTCATGATCCACAGTTAAAATCCTTTGCATAGTCAATAAAGCACAAGTAAACATCTTGCTGGTATGCTCTGCTTTCAGACAAGATCCAACATCTGTGATACTGATGAATTAATGAGTATAGTACACCATGGTATACTTGTGTAA